TTATAGCTAAAGTTTGCAAATTTAAAACAATGGTTCTCATAAATAGTTCATACTGTAACCAAAAAATCTAAAAAATATATGAACACAGTTATTTTTTACAGACATTTTAAATTCAAATTTGGACGAAATTACATAATATTAAAAAACCTAGAATAACTATTTTAGTTATTTTGTTGTGATTGAATAATATTATTCGTGGGTACTTGAAACTTCTAAAGTGTACTATTATATATCTATGATAGTATCACGGTTTTTGTTGATGTATAACGCGTTATAAGTAATTAATGGATATTTTGATATGATTAATTTGGAATTTAGTATAGGTACCTATTATAGGTCAAATTTTGGTTTAGTACAATAGATATGTATATAATATGTCTTATACCTAGACTGACATATCGTCTCCTCTCAGAATCGTTTTTCTTATACAATGATATTATATCGTTGAATTCAAATTTAATATCATCCATTATACAGTGACCCACTTGTAACCTACTGTACAGCAGAGCGACACCCACTTGCCCACCTTTTTTATTATTATTGTACCAAAACTTCAGTATAAGTTTTACAAATGCTTATACAAAGTTTATAATATATACCTAACATAAGATTACAATATTTTTTTAGATATATATATATTATATATATATTTTTTAGATACGGAACCATGATTACAATGATGTGTTTTTTTTTCTATCTAAACATTTTTCCTAGTAGAAATAATGCTTCGATTTTCAATTTCACCATCTTTACTGATTGCAAAGTGAATCTAGTTGGCACTTTTGAGATGTTAACAACAATTTTCAAAAACTTCGGGAAAACAAACAAAAAATTAAGGAAAAACGGGGATTCTTAAGCGAAACCGGTTTTTGACAAAATTGATTTAGTTTCTTTGGTGTAACTAAAAAATCAATAACTGTAAAATTTTAAATTTTCATCGGATGTTTTATTATCATTTTCTATACACTATAAGATTTTCAAAATTTTTAAGCTATGTAAAGGCATTTAGAAAATGCTATTTAAAGAAAATTTTGATTTTTAATAGTTCATTATAAATTATTGTCGATGAAAAATGGTTTGCTCTGTCAAAATACTGGAAAATGTAATACACAAAGTTCCTTATAAGTTATAAGTAGTTGTTAAGATAGTGGGTATTTAAGTTGAGGGTAAATCCACAAAATCGTTAAAAAGTCAGAAATCCAAATTTTTTCGACATTGGATTTTCAGCCGTAAATTAACGAACTATCATCGAATGATTTTCTTATTTTGTTGTAATTCAATAACGAATAACCGTAGATACTTTCAATTTTCACGAAATATTCATTTTATCATTTTCTATGCATGATAAATTTTTTAAATTATTTTGACTCGTTTAGCTATTTATAGACATTTGAAATTTTAACTTTTAGTTTTTTTTCATAGGTAACTGTTTATAAAAAATTTCTTCATGGGGTTTTGTATTAACAAGGTTCCTTATAAGTCGTTATAATAGCAGTTATTAAATATTATAGATACATAGTATTATATTATAAGTAAAGACCGGATTTATATGTACCTATTTACATATCGTAACTGGGTCTATGCAATCTTATGAGAGTACAAAATTTGGACTATAATGAGGTACCTACCTATTATAGATCAATTTTTTGTTTAATATCATAGATATGTATATAATATGTCTTATACCTAGACTGACATACCGTCTCCGCTCACAATCATTTTTCTTATACAATGATATTATACCGTTGAATTCAAATTTAATATCATCCATTATACAGTGACCCCCTTGTAACCTACTGTACAGCAGAGCGACACCCACTTGCCCACCTTTTTCGACATGCAGTATTATATTATTATTTTACCTATGTAAAATACAATTTTGAATTTTTTTAAATATTATTTTGTATCAACTATTTGAGTGAATTTGACTATATTAACGTTCAAGCGTTCTACACAATACATATTATTATTATTTACAATTCTTGTATGGTTTATATAACCGTCCATGTAATTTTCGCCAGTGTAATGAGTTATTTTATGATTTATTCCGCAGTCATTCGTCGCCTTTAGTGCTTGATGGCTTGAATATTTCTTGAAACATATTATAATATCCGTGCAGCGTTTATACTGCAGGTCTACGGCCATTATACTCTGTATAAATCGACCAACGAGTTTTTTTTATTTGAAATATTTAACGATTTTTTAGTCGTTAAATCTGTAAAAATTGATTATACACTAAACAAAACGAAAAAAAAGGAAACAACATTTTTTTTGTGTTCACAAAATATGTTTATTATAACAAAAAGGCCGCATATAAGAAGAAAAAAAACCGAAATTTAAATGTGTGAACAACTTAACAATTTTGAATTTTGAAATGACTTAAATTTAAAGAAAAAAAAAATACGACAGACAGGATAGACACAATAAACAAGGGGGGGAGGATGCGAGATGGCGATTGGTGCAGAAATGCAGTGTTGCTGGCCACTGGTCACCTCTGCACGTTCTCCGACCAGTCCCGCGGGTTGACGAGTGTCGCTGGCGAGTTTGCTCGGACGCTTGACGACCTTGCCCAGCCGGCGAGGCCAGACCGAGACGGCCACGGGAGCGACCACGGTTGACGATGACGCACGGCGGCTAGTGCGCGATGTCGTGCTCGTACCGACCGTCGACGGCGTGACGACTCGGGCCGACGGACGGCGAAGACCAAGACGCGGAGCGAGCGAAGCGGCCGACGTGGGATTACCGCAGGGCGAAAAGGCGAGAGCCAGCCATTGAACTATATGATAATAATAATAATAATAATCATATAGTTCATTGGTCAGGGGAGAAGCGGTGTTGAATAACTTTGGCGAGCTTGTCGGTTGGTTAGACCCGGCGGCCGAAGCACCCACAGTCTGCTGCGATGCGCCTCCAAAGAGGTGGAAGAGCTTAAGAAGGTTTTTTCCGCGGACTGTGTTACTTCTGCCGATGGCGAGACGTCCGAAGCTCCCCCCCCCCCCCCGGGCGAAGACGACAGACAGAAAGACAGCGACGGAATGGAGGGGAGGATGTGGGAAAGAGCACGGACGGTGCGCGGCGGTAAGTCACCCGCGCACGTTCTCCGACCTGCACCCGCGGCGCGACGGCTTAGCTGGCGTGGCGAGCTCGGTCGTCGATGACACGCCAGACCCTCTGGCGGCTTGGCAAGCACCCGACCGCAGTCACTGTCACGAGGAGCGACGGCGACGGTGGACGGCGACGGCACGGCGGCTAGTATAGAGGTACCGGGCAACGATTCCGCCCCGACGGTACACCGACTCGGTACGACGGCGATGGCGACTCGGTACGACGCCAGCGGCGGAGACCTTGGCTCGTGGTGAGTGGTACGGAGATTTGCGTGCTAGGAACACGGGGACGTCAGCGGCGCCGGACTCGCCGAAGGGACGACGCCAGGGCGAAAATTACCGAGAGTCGAGGATCACGCTGTGGTCCGCTGGCTCCATTGAACTATATGATAACTGGATTACTGGAATGCTCACCCGCCATAAGACCAATGTAAAGATACCCGAGATAGCGTGTTAGAAAAAGACAACAGATAAGAATGGTGCTGCTGTCTTTTTTTATCACACATAACATATGATAACACATAATTTGTTTCAACGACTTTAACGTTAGATTTTATGTTACTAAAGAGTAAAATTTTAAATTCAAACTTAAAGAAAAGTAAAACAGTGAGCAGTTAAGAATTTAAGATGGTGAATTTCTGTAGTGGTTTCAATTGTACTAGCTCAAGTGACGTTAGGAAAGACTTGTCATTTCACAAGTTAGTATAAAGTGGTATACCTACCTATACCTATTTTACACATTGATCATTTCAAAGAAATTATATACATATGTTATTTTTATATTTAAGGTTTCCTCTTAAAGAGAAAGAGAGGCTTCAAAAATGGGTTCATGCTGTATGAAGAAAGGATTTTAAACCTACTTCCAGCTCAACCTTATGTATAGTTTGCATTTCTATCTACAATTTCTTATAAGTTATAGTATCTTTAAATGATTATTTATTTTAGGACATTTTGGACAAGAAGTATAACAAAAATCTATTGAAGATTTTGTTTACTGGATCTTTCCAGTAGTAATTGTAGCTAGATTATAAATCTACAATATTAACTTAAGTTAGGAAAGTAGTAAGAAAAATAATTGAGGTAAGTTGTAGGTACAGGTTTTCCAGTAGATACAGTTGTAGGTACAGCATCAGGTAAGTTGGGTAAGTAACTTTTCTTTCAATTATGAATAATATTATAAATACCAAAAATTTTCAATAAAAATCAAATTTTTGTTATTTTATATGCTTAAAATTATGAATTAAAACCTTCTAACTTTAAATTTACAACTTGTTATTTTATTCCCAACATACAAATCCTCGCAACTTCCTTTACATTTATATAACAAATGTAGGAGTCCACAAGAAAAGCATATTTCAATACTTGTTATAGGTATTATAAATTATATTATCTACTAATAACTATTTACTCATCGTTAATTATTTATATTCTATTATTTATCATAAGAATTTGTGGAAATTATAATATAATGAGATGCCAAGTTTTAAAAACCAAACTAAAGTCTTAAATAATATCGCGGAACGCGGAAAATTAATTTAAGATATTAGCGCCGTGTGTAGGACAAAGATAGTTACACCATTAGTATGTTCCATCTCTTTCTAACATTCCCTTTCGGGCAACACTGCTTGGTGAGCATTCCAGTTATCATATAGTTCAATGCCCCTGACGGGCTGCTCGATCTTTTCATCCGGCACTTCTGGACCCAAAATAGAACGGTCCTCCGCTTCCCAAACTTTGGAATCTCCGTCTTCCCGTACAGTGTCTTCGTCGCCGAGCGGTGCTGTCGTTGAGATCGGAGCGAGCTCCGACTCTGCAGCAGACGACAGCGCATCGCCGCCCGGCACACCATCACCGTGGGAGGAGACGGTCTCCCACTGCATCTCCGAGACGGGGTCGATGAAGGCCCGCCTTGTCGCGGCGACCCCGCCCGACCGGACAAAATCGTCCGGCGCTAAGAGGCCTTCAAAAGGGAGATCACCCTCAAAAATCAAATCATGGCAAGAAAGTATAAAAACAGATATGTCGTTACCGCCCCAGTGGCCTTGGAAACCACAGGGGACGTTGATGTCGGCTCCCGTAGCCTGGCCGCATTTTCGTTACCAAGCGAAAGGCGAAGAGATGTGGAAGCCCCACGAACAACCGACGACGGCCTAATAATATTGACAAACTTGTAATAAGGACTCCACACACGTCATACGACGGCTTGCCACTCCGCCTTAGAGGCGGCGGAGATGTAGATGACTCCACAATTATGTCGGAGGAAGAAGGGTCGTGCAGTCGAGTTAACACGACGCCTGTTACCAACGCACGTAAGAGAAAAGCCGGGGACTCTCCACCCGGACAAGTTCCTCCGAGTATTGCTGCCGAAATGAGTGCAATAACAGAATACATAAGAGACTGCAAGGCATTTATGCAGGACATGCAAGGTACGGTCAAGCTGGGGAAAAAGTGGATCTTTGTAATTGAGGAATTCCTGGCTAAGATTCAGACCAGCAGTACCAACATTGCCATGGAGGCCGCGGTCATCTCGGGCAAGTACCAAGAAGCCAGGATAGAGGCCGCGGACCAGTACAAAAACTTTGAGGACATTATAACTAGAACTCAGCACGACAGGACATACGCCAGGGTAGTCGGCCCGAGCACTGTAGTTGCCCCGACCAGTGAACCGAACGATAATTTCCCCGCACCCACGGAAGTGCAAAGGCCGAGAGTGAGGAAGAAGCCTCAGGTCAGTAAAGAGAGAGACAAGCTCGAAAAGGCCAAGAAGATGCCGGTCAAACCAGTATTTATTGGTATTGACGAAGAGGTCGAAATGGATCATATATGGGACGCCGTAAAGTTGGCCACTCCCAAGCCAAGGATCGATACGTGTAGAACAACGTCTACAGGACAAATTATGGTGACCAGCTCGGACGAGCGGACGATACAGGCTCTTAGGTCAATGAATGAGATGGTGACGGAGACCGCACCCAGAAAGCCAAGGGTCAGATTGAAAGGTATTCCCAGGCAATACGAAACGGACTTTATACAAGAGTCACTGATAGACCAGAACTCAGCACTAGACGGCATCAGCAAAGAAGACGTAAGATCTCTGTTCAAGTGCGGCCCCTTGAGTCGGGATGATTGCTGCGACTGGGTCATTGAAGTCACGCCCGAAATTCATAAAATCATTACTGGAAAAAGAACCTTCATCGGAATGGTGTCCACCTTCCCATCTACATACATCAACCCGCCCCACTGCGGCAAGTGCTTAAAGGTAGATCACACAATAAATAAGTGCAGCGAGACCAGCTTCAAGTGCTTTCACTGTGCCAAACCGGGACACAACAAGACCGACTGCCCGGACAAGGAGAAGTCCCCCACCTGCGCCCAGTGCGGCGGACAACACAAGCCGCTGTCCACAAGCTGCCCCACTTGGATCAAGAGAGTAAGAGCCCTTCAAATGCGCACGCAGTACGATGTATAGGATCCCAGCCATCATCGATCCAGCTCAATTGGTAGGACCATAAATCCTACATCAGCGCAGGGCTCGGCGAAAGCTGGGATGGGCCCGACGACCCCACGTTACCTGAGTCAACCACCGACCGGGGGTGGGGGTACCCTGGAGTAAAAACCAGGGTACTCATATACCCGTACAGCGGGACCGAGGAGCCCCACTGCCACAAGGTTAGTGCCCCGGTACTGAGGCCCAACAACATCCCGGGCCTCTGGAGTCGGACTCGCTGGGGTTGTGGTTTTGCTAGGAACGGCCACTAGCCTACGGCTAAGTCGGAGGTGGATACATATACATTGCACCTCCGAGAGTCGAGCCTCCGGGCTCAGACTCCAGGGTCTGAACTTCACCAGTAGTGGTGAACGATTCAATGGCAAATAGGATTGGCGCGACTAGACCAACGAGACCTTCTTCTGTTTTATCAGCAAGAGCTCCTCCTTCCATCTTGTCGGCAAAAATATCCTCCAGTATTTCCATCAATATTATGTTTACCGCGGCGCGGTCGATGTCGTAGTTTTCTGTTGCCATAATTAAATTTTTGAGAGAATATAATATTTGTTAGCGTACGTTTGGATTCAATCGAGAGTTGTAAATGAGCTAAATAAGAATCTTTCAACACATAGACCGATCTCCGAGAAAATCTCCCGGACGACGACGTGTGTTACTAGCCAGCTAGTATGTTTATCGTTCTCGTCAGCCCACAGCATTAGAATTTCGAGCGCGTTAACAATAATAATATAATAACAATTTTATTTTATTTGCAAACAATTCCCATTTTCAATTATATAATTAATACGGTAGTAAGTTTGCTCACCTCCTATAAGCAAAAGCTTGGGTTGAAGGTGAGAAGTTCTCAAATTAGACATTAAACTTAAATTCGAATAATAACAATAAAGTACAATACAAGATTTACTTAATACAAAATAGAGAGTTAATTTTTCTAAAGACCACTATTATTATTGATATCCAGCGACACGGTCGTAATTAAAAAAAAAATAATAACCGTGCGACGTTGTGTGATGTATATCGAAGCAAGAGTTGCCTATTTAAACTGTGTTAAATGCAGGTAAATCTGTTATAAGACGTACTCATAAGTCATAACTAACTTTCTATTTCATCAATTAGCCCCTAGTAAACTCCAAAACATCAGAAATATTGTGTAGAACTTGATTTTATGAAAATCATCAAAATCGTACGTTTGTAAATTAAGTTATAAATGAAAAAGTGCTAACTTTTTAATGGACATTTATGTTAAATTCAGTACCACGGTACCTAGCTGTCGTCGTCGTCGCATCAGTGTTGCTAATGTTACCAACAATATTACAGTTCTTATAGATTATTGTATTTAATATTATATATTTATATAATACTCAATATTTATTAACGATAAAAATTAGTGGTATCACAACAAAAATCCTTCGTAAACTACGTGTAAAAATGACGAGGTAAGTAAAAAAAAATATAAGATCTTTAAGCACTATAAAGATGTAATATCATGAATATAATATTTTAGATTCTGAGTAGAACGATGAATGTATTGATTTTACAATGATGTGTGTTTTTATATTTTTTTTTATTTTTATTTTTGTGTCGGTGTACACGATAGGAAGTCGAAATAATGCTTTGATTTTTAACTTCAGTATCTTTTTCGATTCGAAAGTGAATATCGTTGGTGCATTGGGGAGGTCAAAATTTAAATTTCCCAATAGTTTTCACAAGCACCGGGAAAAAAACAACATAAAAATTAAGGAAAAACGGGAATTTTCACGGAAAATCTGTTTTCGAGAAATTCGATTTTGGTTTTTCATGCAACTCTTAATCAAATGACCGTAGGTACATGAAATTTTGAATGAATGTTTATATTAGCATTTTCTATACACCATAAAATTTTCCAAATATTTTGACTTATTTTGAGATCTTAACGAACATTTTCATTTTCCATTTTTTTTTTAGTATTTTTTCTAAGAATATCAATAAAATTTTATTTGTTGGTTTAAAAAGCTTGAAAATTTAATAGGAGACTCCTAGTATATTGTTTCAAAGGCAGATGAAAAACATTAAAAATCCTTAGTCACAGTTTTTCTTTATAAGCATTTAAAGTTCAAAATTTGACAAAATATGGAAAAATCAAGAAATATAGCAAATTATTTTGAGTTAAGAATTCGTAAAAATTTTTCTTTTTAAATCTAAGATTTGAAAATGTAATACAAGATTACTCATAAGTTTGTCTACCTTTATCAATAAAAAAATCTCTACCGGAGAGTCAAATTAAATTTTTATGAGGGTTTTAAATTAAAATTTTTACAACATTGGATATTCACTCGATTTCTCATGTAGCGATTTCCTTATTTTGTTGTAATTCATAAACGAATAACCATAGATACATGAAAATTTTACTAAATGTTTATATTAGCATTTCCTATACTCCATACAATTTTGAAAATATTTTGACTCTTGTTGAGCTGTTTACGGACATTTTCAGTTTTCAATTTTTTTAGTTTTTTTTTTCTTTAAATATCAATTAGGTTTTATCTGTTGGGCCAAAAACTGTAAAAATTTAATACAAGGCTCCTGATATAATGTTACAATATAAGTTCAAAAATATTAAAAATATATTGGCACAATTTTTTTTTATAAGCATTTAAAGATCGAATTTTGACAGAATTTTTCAAAATCTCGAAAATTATCAATCATCGTAATTAATAAATTATAAAATGTTCAGTTTTATAGCTAAGGATTGACAATTTAAAACAAGATTCCACGTAAGTAGTTAATTCTGTTACCAAAAAAATTCAAAAAAATACACAAGCACAGTTTATTTTTATTTTCATTTTAAGTTCAAATTTGGGACGAAATTACATATTAAAAAACCTAGCATACCTATTTTAGTTATTTTGTTGTGAGTGTATAATACTATTCGTGGGTACTTGAAAATTCTAAAGTATACTATATTATATAATATCTATGATAGTATCAGGGTTTGTTATTGATGTATAACGTGTTATAAGTACCTAATGGATATTGTTATATGATTAATTTGGAATTTATTATAGGTCTATTTTTTTTTAATACCATATATATTTATATAATATTTCTTAAACCTAGACTGACATACCGTCTTCGCTCAGAATCGTTTTTCTTACAGCGGCGGATTGGCTAAAAATTTCGGCCCGGGAAATAACCGTATGATCGGCCCACCGTCCAAAAATAATAATTGTCCATTAAAAATTTTTTTTTTTAGTCTTTGTCTTATTTATTTCATAATAAATATTATATTTTTATTTAATATAATATCCACTCACTTACCTTTACTTTTTGCATCAGTGCTCATGCATCATGCAATGTGCACGTATAAAACAATATTAAAACAAATTTCATCTTCAATTTCATCATGATCATTATTGTCTTTGTCACTATAAGGCTGCATTGTTGTTTAGTACGACTAGGATACTGATTTTTTTAAATACTTCCAATTAACAGCAAAACTTAATAGTTCTGACTTCAGATTTTCATGTGTAATATCGTGATCAATTTTTTTTTAGTTTTAAGGCAAGATTGACAAAAGCTTCGTTTGATAGTTTAGAATTAATATGCTGAAAGTTTTGAGGTGAAAGCCAAGATAAATCAGTGTAAATCTGAGAGTTTGATACAAATCTTTTTTCCATACTACTAACTACCCCATCCATTACAACATTGTACACTTCTACTTTGAATTTTAAATATGGATCGCTAATAGGGTCATCTTCAACTGTATCAAAATGTTGTTTTTTTTTTCGAATTCTTAATTGTGGTAAACTAGTTTCTATTAATAAATCATAATTTTTGTCTTCAGTATCTTCCAAAGTCTCTAATTTTGTATTTGTATTTTCAATAAATTTTGAAACAATATTTTTCAATTCTTGGTCATCTCTTGATATTAATTTTAACTGTTCTAAAGCTCCATAAGAATAACTAATAGGTAAAATCCTTAATATTTTAAATTGCTTACCTCCATTGCTTTATTTTTTACGTTTTGATTAGACATTATAGAGCGAATATTTTGGCATGACTTAGCAGAATCAGCAAGTAATTTTTGTTTTTTTTCCCTTAATTTTTGCGCTCCACCTTTTATTATTTTATTCAGGCAGTTTATAAATTTTTAGACAAATAACTAATAAGACATTAGAAATTTATAAAAGCGTTCTAGAGTAACCTAGAATATTATAGTCTTCATGCTGTTTAATATACAGTAGATCAGTGATTCCCAACGTGGGCGCTACCGCCCCCTTGTGGGCATTTTTTATTTTTAAGGGGGCGTTTTTATGAGGGGGGCGCTAAAGGGGGCGCTCATGTATCATTTAATTTTTTTTGTTTATAATTTTATATTAGCGAATTCGAATCAAATTATATAATTATTAATTATTGGTAGGTATTTAAATTTAAAATTAATTAAATTGTAGCGTTAAAATGTTAAATGATATTTTGACTTAAATTAAATAGCTTATTAAAAAATAAAGCGTTTATCATTTTAAAAAATTGATTGGGGGGGGGGGGGCGGTGTGAGATTTTTAAAATCTAAAAGGGGCGTTGAGTAAAAAAAGGTTGGGAAACACTGCAGTAGATAGTAGATACTATAAGGTCTATGAATGTTGAATGTAATCAACAAAACAGCTGTATCATTTACCACGAACATGTTACGTAATAATAATATTTTTATCACTTTACCTTAGTTCACTAACCATGCAGCTATTATTTATAGAATAAATTATTGTAGAATTGTTTACATCACGTTTAGGTTTTTATAACAATAACAATCTTATCTTATAATTAAATACAATATACTTAAAAATAATTTTTAATCCAAAATATACATCGGCCCAGAGTTATAATACGACAACCGGCCCACCGGGAACTTTCCCGGTATCCCGGTGGGCCAATCCGCCGCTGTTTTCTTATACAATGATATTGTATCATTGAATTCAAATTTAATACCATCCATTATACAGTGACCCACTGTACAGCAGAGCGACATCCACTTACCCGCCTTTTTTCATGTTTTAATATTATACTGTTATATTTATATTGTATTCTAATTTCCTACTCTTACTAAAGTGCAATAATTTTCCATTAGGTATAATACGCAACTTTTAATACCTAAGTAACACCACACTATTAAAATAATGTTAAAAAAAAAATTTTAAAGCATATTATAATGATGTTTTTTTTATTATTTTTGCATATTTTTTAAATTTTTGAGAGAATATAATGAGAATATTTGACGGTTTTTTAGAGAATATTAACATTATATTTTGGGTATTTTAAGAGAATATAAATCCGGTCTTTAATTATAAGGTACATTCTTATTAAAAGTATTTCATCAAAATTTACAAATTATTTATAGGAGTTAAGAACATATAGGCTCGTATTCAGACTTTGGTGGTTGAGAGGTATAATACATTTTTAAATCGTGAGACCAATTTTTATTAGGCATGAAGAAACATTTATTTTTTATGTTCAAAAACTCGTAAGTATATAGGAATGATTTTTAATTATGCCCCAAAAGTGTAACCATTAGTGTGTGTCATAACAATAAAAATACACTTAAAACTAAAATAAAAACACATTTACATTCAATATAGTTAATTGTTGATAAAAATAAAGTGTTTATAAATCCATTTATCTCTCATAAGATTTCAATATTTCAAAAGACTCAACGACATCATCGAAATATACTTCTTGCCAATTCTTGCTCGATACTGATGGTTAATAAACCATCCGCCGATCTTGATTCATAATGCTCCTCAGTTTGGTTTTCATAAAACTTAGTTTTAAAAAAGTATTTTCACATGATCAGCTTGGAACTGGTATAGTTACAAATATTTTAAAGGCTTTAAATACATTTGAAAATAATTAATAAATCATCCCTCCCACGAACTGTAAGCTACTTAATCCCCTCGCTACAGTCTTTTCCTTTTGGATTTGGACTTTGTGACTAATTCCAACTCATTATGCTTCAAATCAGAGGTTTTGCACAAATTCACCATATCATCGAAGTTACTTTCTAGCTCTACTAAGTGGCTGATACTATTTATTATAGTTAATGTTAATTGATTAAATCTGACCTCTATAGTATATTATATCAGGGGTCAGCAATTAAACTCTATGGCAGTTAAGATAATTTTAAAACAATTTTCAAGGGCCAGAAAAAACAATTAATTAATAATGTGTTTATATTTGTATTAAAAATACATTTATAGCTATTTAAACCAAATTATAAATATATATTATAATATAAGCTTTTTTTTTTTTAAATTTGGTACTCTCAGAGAACAACTAATGCGCAGCTTGTTTTCAAGGTGGAAATCAGTTAATCTTGATTGATATTTATTCTTTAAAAACGTCAATTTTTAATATTAAAATAAATTACTTTAATAGGTATCAGTACTATAAAATATATAAAATATAATTAATAATTTAGGCTGACCGCTGGCAGACCGTCTCGTCTTGGTCAGAATCGTTTTTCGTATAGGTACAAAGATTTTATACTATCGAATTTAACACATTAACCTCTTTTGACACCTACAGGCTAGTGGCTACTGAACATCAATTAGGTTCCTATACTTGCCCACCTTTTTTTTAAATAAATTATAATTGTTCTTTGATATAATAATCACTGCGTATATACGAAAATCAAGCGTTTAAATCAATTTTAACATAAATATGTTTTTGGGCTGAGTACAGATATTTTTTTTCTAACCGAGTAGTGTGCTGTGTTTTTTTTGTTATTACAAAATACCTATTCTGCATATCGTCGGTGCCCCTAATTCCGTGATTGTGTAGACTTCTTACGCCTTAATCCTGCATGCCTGTCTATGCATCAGCATATTATTGCAAACTCAGACATATTATAATATTATAGATACCTATCTTTAAATGTTAATGATAGCAAATTGAAATAATTAAGATATCGTCTATTATACCAAAATACCACATGGAAATAGTTTATTATGATGTAGGTACCTAGTAGGGCCGCTCTGACCACCAATAACGCCCTAGGGCAACAATATTTGACGCCCCTCTCCCACCCACAAAAAAATCTCGACTTCACTTTTTAGCTTATAATTAACCACACACCTTAAATATGTTTAATACTTATTAATTAAAGGTTCCTACTTATTTTTTTGATATTATTATTGGAATCATATTTATTTTGTTTCCATAATTTTTTCGAAGTTGACACCGATTTCATTATTCCGGGTACATTCGTACATTACAGAAAGAAAATATTTATAACTATTTTCACAAATTAGTAGATTCAATTATAAATCATACGTTCTGCGTTGCTGCGTGTGGCGTGTATAAGAGTCAACATTGTAAATTGTACAAGTGAATATAAGTGAAAATATTATACAGAATTCAGTCAAGACACACTAACTCGATTTATTTTAAGAAGTGGGTAAAATGTATAATGAGTTGGTTATAACTATTATAACATAATATACATATATCTTTGAGTATACCTAATAATTACAGTAGCACAACTATGATAACTGGGGCCCATAGACTTCAGGGGCCCCAGCCTAACTAATATTTTACTATTTTCGTATTTGATAATAAATATCAAATTCACATTATTTTAATGTATTTATGTATGAATAAAATGTCACTGTCAGTATAGATATTTGATGTATTATTGAAATATTATTCTATAAATACAGGATGTTGCACGATTAATGTGTCAAACTTCTAGAGGTGTTTCTACACCTCAAATGGAACAAAAAAAGTCCTTATGACCATAATCGAATTATCAATAATAAGGGTGATAATTTCTATGTTTGTGTTTTTTTGGTTAAACGCAAGTTTGATTCATAATAATGTTTATATCTGCTAAACCGTAGATACTACAATTAATTTGAATACATTGATGAAAAGCTCATAAAACTTTGATTAGGAAAACATATCTTACAAGGTTCCCACCTGATTTTTCGGGTATAAAAAATAACACAAAATATGTTTTAAAACTTTAAAATGTCGAAATTTTAAAAATTCAGTTTTATCTAACAACAATTATTTTTTAAAGTAGGGGTCATAAGGACTTTTTTTTTGTTCCATTTGAGGTGTAGAAACACCTCTAGAAGTTTGACACATTTATTGCGCAACACCCTGTATAAAATAATGATGACATTTCTCCATATTTTACCAGGCAAATTAAAGGAGGATTATTAAACACAACAATTAAGGACCTCGCTTTGTTTATAATTAAAAATGGTTTCTGTAATTTCTGTAAAAATTGCGATTTTCTTAAATTTGCCGATTACAAAACCAGAAAAAAAATCTTTTTCAAGTGAAAATATTATTTAATACTACCAAAGATAAGAATTAGTTTAGTTTATAAGTATATTACTTAATTATTTTATTGATATGGATAAAATATATTTTATGTAAATAAATTACTATTGTAATCTTATAACATCATACACAGTCTGAGAATATTACGCTCAATAACGCTCTGTGCCCGTTTTAAGTTTCCTTCGAAACTAGTTACCCGTTTTTTTGCGTTTTTTAGTTCACTAAATCCGGAAAAGTGCGTGCTTCGACTGGTGTCGTTTTTGAGTCAGTCTGATTACTATTTATTCTAAATTTTTTACTTTCAGTAATTTGTTAATTAATTTGTGCGCATCATTAAAAGGTAATAATTTATTATAAGTTTATACTATCGCCTAATTACGGTTGAATTTTGAATTCTTATCGACATCGATAAGCAGTGTCGACCCGTGGAGGCTATCTCGTAATTCGAATCCGGCACGTGCCAAGGTCGCCGCCTATCTTTGTTGTCTACGCCGGATGCAAGTTATTTGGCCTATTTATTTTTGCTAAGGCGCCTTATTTTGTCCTTTGTTTATCCCACGTTCTCACCAGTTAGTCGAAAACACATAATGACTCAAAACAATGATCTTCTTTCTTCCGAGTTAAACAAATGGACTAAAAGCATGCTCGTTGACTATATAGTGGCGCAGACTCTGCCCACTGGTGTGAAGCTAAGTGACGACTTGTCTAAGTTTTTAAAAGATTCTTCTTCTGATCCTGTTTCGCCTTCGCATGAAAACTCAATTAATATTGCTAATATTCTCCAATCCGTGGTTGTGGAGCTCAAATCCGTGGCTCTTAGTAACGCTAAGCTACATGATAAGCTCAACCACCTCAATGCGGCACCTAATGCCCAAACTCCCAAATCAAATGTTCAACTCTTTAAACTGCCCGTTGATGTACACCCGAAGTCGGTTACGGGTAATCAACCCGCAAACCGATTGACTGCCAGTGAATCTTCGTCTGTAAAATCAAAATTCATTGTTGGTTCTGTAAAGAACTCATCTTCCAAGCTGTCATCAGTGCCTGTGCGTAAGCATGTTGATATTTTTGTCTCGAGGCTTGATCCAAGTGTTACAACTGCCCTGCTAGAATCTGAATTGTTCAATGGTTACTCAGACGTGACCATCAGCAAAATGGTTACAAGGCATCCATCATACTCTTCGTTCCATATTCGTCTGCCTGCGGATAAGCTGGATATTGTCCTCGATCCTGCATTCTGGCCCGATGGTGTAATGGTCAAACGTTTTTGGGGTCGTCTTGCTCCTGAGATGATTCAAGACGCCACTCCAAAAAACTGATATCTTCATGTTCGTCTACCTGTCCTCCTCTTAGTGTGGCGTACGCACCACCAACTTCCAGATCTGGTGTTGTGAAACGCCCCGAAAAACTTATCAGCCAAGGAGTGAAGCTTCCCATGGGCTACTATCAAAACTGTAGAGGTCTAAGAACCAAACTTTGTCTTTTTAAATGTAATGTTGCTGTGTTTAATTATATTTTCATTTGTTTAACTGAAACGTGGCTTACTAATAGCTTCCAAGACACGGAATTAGGTTTACACAACTATGTTGTATTTAGGTGTGATAGAAGTAGTCAATCCAGTAGTTTTAGTAGAGGAGGAGGGGTTCTCGTTGCCATTCGTAACGATGTGGTCCATAACTTGTTACCTGCTCTCATTAGCAATGTTGAATATTTATTCGTTAAATTTTATGTAAATAATACTGCTTATATTGTTTGCTCCGTATACATTCCTCCTAGTAGCCCTATCCCGGTATATGAGTCCTTTATGTCTGCTGCTCAATATATTATCGACTCTAATCCTGGTTCCGTATTTATTTTCTCTGGTGATTTTAACCTTCCTGACCTATCCTGGTCTAATGACGATATTGGCTTAATTTATTCTTCCTCTGGCCCTGCTATCCACTGTGTTCCTGACGTTTTCGCATATAATAATTTTTTCCAACTAAATCACATACCCAACTCCCATGGAAATTTCCTTGATCTAGTTTTTTCCAATGATTCTCGGATCAATATAGAGAAATCCGTTACTGGGGTGGTTCCTTGTGATCCTTACCACCCAGCCTTAGTTTTAATGCTTACTTTTGTAGATGACTTACCTTCTATTGATAGATGTCATAAATATTATAATTTTCGTAAAGCCTGTTATCCTCGTATTAGTGCCTTCTTATCATCGTTTAACTGGTTAGAAACCTTAGCAACAACTGATATTGATTCTGCTACGTGTGCATTGTACGATGCATTGCATTACTGTGTTACAAGTTTTGTACCTTTAGTTGTTTTCAAACCTTCTAAATTTCCATCCTGGTTCTCTAAAAATCTAAAAAACATTGTTTTTGCCAAGAAAGAGATGCACACTAAATACAAAGCATCACGTAACCCTGTTGACTATAACAAGTTCTCTAACCTGCGCGCTCAGTATAAGTATTATTATAAAAAGTGCTATAAAACATTTCTGGATAACACTGAAAACATGCTTAAAGTTAATCCTCGTCTATTCTGGGACTTTGTACGTAAACGTAGATCTAGCAGTGGTATTCCCAACTCTGTTCACCTCAATGATCTAAGTGCCACTGGTCCTGAATCCATCTCCAGTCTTTTCTCATCTTACTTTAACTCAGTCCATGTGCCTTCCTCAGCAAATAGCCTACCTGTTATTCCATTTGCGCAGCATATTTTACCTTCTGACTGCATCTTTGGTATCGATGATGTCGAGAACGGGTTAGCTGCACTAAAAAATGTGCACTCCGTTGGCCCTGATGGTCTATCTGGGACCTTTTTGTATAACATCAGATCTGTCCTCTGTTTTCCTTTATGGTTACTCTTCAGGCGTTCAATGGATGATGGAATTTTTCCATCTATGCTTAAAATCAGCTCAGTCACCCCTGTGTTCAAATCTGGTGACAAATCTAACGTCACGAATTATCGACCCATCTCGATTCTAAGTCATATTGCCAAGCTTTTCGAACTCTTAGTACTGCAATCCATTCAGCCCTCGGTTGACTCTGTACTAGTCGACGAACAATACGGTTTCCGACCCGGACGTTCTTCCACTTCAAACCTAATTGTGTTTAATAATTTTGTCCTTGAGGCATTTGAAAATCGCTCCCAGGTAGATGTGATTTACACTGATTTTGTGAAAGCATTTGACCGTGTCGACCACGCTATCCTCATTGACATCCTCTATAAGTCCGGTTTTGGCGAACCTATTTTGTCCTGGTTTAAATCATACCTGTCCGATCGTGTCCAGTGGGTTAAAGTGCTTGGATCAAAATCTGCTGTCGTCCCTGTTCCATCTGGTGTTCCCCAAGGTGGTCACTTGTCTCCCCTGCTTTTTTCATTATTTATAAATGGAATTAAGAAGGCTGTTCCTAAGTGTAGATTCCTTATGTTCGCTGACGACCTGAAACTTTTCCGAAAAATCGAATCTGAAGCCGACTGTCACGCCCTTCAGAACGAGTTAGATTCCATTAGCTTATGGTTTAGCACTCTTGGCCTCCAATTTAATACTAATAAATGCAAAGCTATGTCCTTCACCAGGTGCCGGTTGGTATTCGATTACTCTTACACAATCAATGGTTCAGTGATTGATAGAGTTGCAAGCAATAGCGACTTGGGCGTCCTTTTCACTGCCGATCTGAACTTCCGCCCTCACATTGACTCCATCTGCTGCCGAGCCCTCAAATCGCTTGGCTTCGTAATGCGCACCATGAATGAGTTCAAGCTGTCTGGTTCTCTCAAGACTGTCTACTGCTCTTTAGTCCGAAGCATGCTAGAGTATGCGTCTGTGCTCTGGGACCCATTTGTGGTAGTTGATTCTTGCCACTTAGAGCGAGTACAAAGGCGCTTTCTGTCGTCTGCAGCTTACATGCTAAAAATTGTCCATCCTCCTCACGACTATGCTCCAGTATTGCGCGCACTTAGCCTTACATCTTTAGCAGATAGGCGCGTTAAAGCTAATCTGGCCTTTTTAAAAAAGCTAATCGATGGTTCCTTAAATGCCCCTTCACTGCTTATCCAAGTAAACTTTAAAGTTCCACATCGGGCCACAAGGTCTCGAGTTCCTTTTACCGTACCTCTCCACTGTACCAATTACGGTAAAAACAAACCTATTGACCGTATGATGCGGTTGGCTAACGAGGACCCCTCCTTTCTCAGTTTACCTTAATATTGTGTTATTTTTGTCCTTTTTGTGTATTTAATTTTACTTGTGTCCTAATTATTTTAGTTTATATTTACCGTGCCTGTAATTCTGCTGTATTTTTAGGCCATCGCCCTTTGTATATGTTAACTATCTTATTTTACTGAATTTTTGTAGTGTACTGTACTAAATAAGGAATTTTTTATTCCGTGAATTAATTAATTAATTAATAAATAAATAACTTATAAGTTATGAGTATTAATATTTTTATTTGTTTTTATGAATTTTGAATATATTATTGAAGTTATGTCGCATTAAGATTTAACACATTATTTACTCAATTTTATATTTAATAGTATACAATTTGATAGGTAGTCATCTTTGATATTACAGTATAAACAGAAAAATAATACCTAAATATTAATAAGAACACCATATTTTTCTTTTTATCATTCATTTTTAGTACGCCCCCTATATTCATAATACTTTAGATGCCCTAGGGCACTTGCCCCATTTGGCCCCCCTTGGGACGGCTATCACTACATACCTATAATGTGTAAGGTAATATAATTTTACGTTCAAAGTTTTCAATGCTGAGTAACTTCAATTTTTTATATTTTAAGATGATCGATAACGGGTAGAGGTGGGCTGGAACTAGTTCCTTGGTTTCTAATCACTTAAAACTAAATAATTATATTTAATACCATAGTGACACCAGAAAAAAGATTCCTTAAAATAATTGGTTTGTTGGTTGAGTTGTTCTAGCACTATATATATACCTATTATGCGTCCTACCTATAATATATTGTGTGTATACTGTATATTATATAATAATATATAAATAAATAATTATAATAGCCAGCATAAAAAAAAAATGTTAGTCACATAATTAACTAATGAGCAGACGATTTGGGTACTTAGGTTTTGGTTTCTGAACAACCAAAGTATAGTCTTTTATGATGATATCGTAATTCGAAACCTCTTTATGACGTATTATTGTAAATACTAACGAATTGTGCTTATTCGATGATTATGCTATAGCTCATCAGTTATATGCATACTACCAATACTCTTTGGGTTCCAGTTGATTGAGCTAAATTAATGTCAACTATAGATTTTTATTTTTTTATTTTAGGAGGTGTAGCAACTTAAACAATATTAAACTTGACTGTTATAACAATTACTCGTATAGCTTTAAAATAAGTTTTTATGCTCTTCAAAATTGAATAACTTCATTCAGCTGAATAGTTAGATATTACCTAGCTAGATGTGAAAAATAGCTATATATTTTATTTTAATAAAAATATGAGTATAATATGACGCATTGTGACATGACGTGTGCTAAAGAAATTTAAAATGTCGTTGCTTTCGTAAAATGGATATTTATCGGCTAGTCCATAGGCGTGTGCAGCCCTGAATTTCGGGTACAAAATAAAAAGTTATTCCACTCAAATTTAATATATTTTAAGTTTTGTTATTTTTTTATTATGAAAGGTGGTCAGCAGCAAGTAGGGTTGCCAACCGGCCGGTATTTTCCCGGCCCGGCCGGTATTTCACATATTTAGACTTAAAAAGCCGGTTGCCGGTATTGACCTATAAAAAGCCGGTATTTTCAAAGTAATAATATTGTAAAATTATAAAAACCCAGTAATTCCACCTGATCGAGAGTTTTGATATTATATATTAATATTTTATCATTTTTATGAAATTGATTATCACATGTTATGTTATGTAATGAAACGAAAAAAAGAATTCGTAATTGTGTTTTTAACGATGAATGGTTAAAAGATCAAATATTTTCTGATTGGATCGCTAAACACAATAACCCTAATAAAGCACGATGTATATTATGTCAGACAGTTTTTAGTGTTAAGTATGATGGCGTTAAAGCTGTAAAAACACATCAAGAATCAAAAAAACATGAAGAATCCGTCAATTCTATAAATAAATCGTCCACTATAAAAAAATGCCGCTAAATATAAATTTAAAAGTTTACAATAGTTTATTTATAATAGTTATTATAATAATTTATAAGTTTATAATATTAAAGTTTAACATAATGTAATACTAATATTATTAATTTTTTTATTTTAACGTATGTAATTAATTATATTATTCGTCATTTTATTATATTAATATTAA